TTGAAGGAACACAAAATATTGTTTTCTTAATTTTATAGTTCTATAAGAATGAAAAAAGGATTTAGTAGAAAAATCTCTGGAAGATTTTGAAGACCATCCGGCAATTCCAAAAAAATACTTTCAAACTATTTCGCATACTTTTAACAATATTTAAAAACTCTCAACTCAGCCCCACAACACACGCGACTTGCTCAAAGTTTTTCCACATTTTCCGTAGACCACAACTGACAATTATCGGGATTTAATTACGCAGGAAAGGTGCGCGCGGCACTGGGATTGGTTTGCTGAGTTTTATTGAAAACACCCCGGGTGACAATTGCACAGACACCGCAGCCGGTCGCATGTTGGATGACAAAACCGCAAAAACGTATAATAAAATTTATAAAAAAAAAAACCAACAAACTGAAGAAATTGAAAGCGAGACAATCAACGCGCACCGCAGGATACTTGTGCCAAATAAAAAACACGCACAGGATTAAAAAAAAATACCAATAAAATGTCAGCGAACGTATCAGGTAAAGCTGCACAGATGAGGCCTATCATAAAAAATGGAGAGGAAGAAAAAAAAACAACATCAAAACAAAAATGAATCGTTAGCACGTGCATCGAATGCCAAAATCAAATTCAAATTTAGATTAAATTCAACTACAATTGAAATACTTCCCGATGGAGCTGTCAGCTGGTCTATGTTCAGGTCTTCTGCAGCAGATATTGATGATTCAAATTGAAGCTGATGGTAAAAGTGCGCGAGACCCGCTGCGAAATGCTTTCAACGAGCATTCACAATAATTATCGTGACGATAATGATGTTGTAGGCTGAGAGGACACTTGATATGTCTCTCGGCAACGTATTTAGCTTGTGGTGCGTGTGCGTGTGTGTGTGTCTATAATTGTCCATATAATTGCGCATCATGCGGCGTTGAGTACAAAAGAAAGTTTTTTCGACAGCCCAAAATAAAAAATAAAAATACACATGAAATTGAACAAAGAATTTCGTATTATAGAAGTAAATACTTGCGATTATATCATATAATGAAGCTAATTTCACACAGAGCAGCAGCGAGAAGCTGGCGAGAACAAAGGAATAAGCACAAAGTAAGTTAAGTGTAGTTAAAAAGTTCTTTTTGCGAAAGTAAAGATGTAAAAATTATCAAATAGAAATAGTTGAATACTATAAATTGGCAGCACCTTTTATAACAAATGGGCAGCACTTCACGGTCTGGCAGATGTGCATCATAAATATCTTCTTCAGATCTTAAATATTCAGATAGTTGGCAAAGTTAAGCAGAGAATGAAAATTAACTTTAAAGATTGAAGCTAAATGGGTTTTACTAAATACGCACAGCTTACTTATGTTTAAAATGTAGTTTAAAATGAGAGCTGTAGTTAAATACTAACTGCTCGTCAGAAAGATAAACTATCTGACATGATTCCATCAAGCAATAAAAACAAATAAAATTTGACAGCAAGTTAATGTGATTGTCAAGCTTAATCGAAATAAGTACAGTAATTGTCAACTGAAAAAATCGGACTGTAAGGCTGCATGTTAAATGTTAACAGGCAGATCGGCTTCTGCAAGAAACGAAATTCGTTTCAGCATAAGAACACATAGCTCAAATAGACAGAATGCTAAACCAATATAATATATATAGATAATCTTTAATGGACTTACGCAACTCTTCAAAAATCATTTTCTAGTATTCCTACAAAGCATTAAACCCCGCCGCTGACAAGCACAACAAACACTTCAAAATTTATCCAAGCAAACATCATAAAATTGTCATACAAGCCGTAAAGTCGAGTCGGGTCTGTAAAAACAATCTGCACCACCGGATGGCAAGCCCGGCATATGAGGTACGCTCTGCGCCCTGCCTCTGCCCGTTGGGGGTCAACAGGGCTGCCCGTGCAGAGGTCACTCGTAAAAAGGGCCGTAAAAAAATATGTTATACGAATAAAAAGTCGTGCAAAATCAGCGTAACATGGCGAGATTTCTAGTCGGATGGATGAATGATTATACATATACATATATGTATATATAATTGAAATAGACAGCTGGCCAGGCCAGGCCAGGCTCTATTGCCGACTCACTCGCACTCGCATTCTCGTGCTGCTGCGCAGGCGCACAGCGTGTCACAAAAAGCACTTGAGGCTAATTTCGCTGGCTTGTTCAGCATTTCCAATGGCCAATGGCAGATTTTTATTTTTTAATTAAGCTAGCAACATAATTGTTAATAGCAAATACAACGACAGCAGCAGCAACAACTGCAAATTGTCGCTTTAAAAAAAAAGCTGTTGTTGGTTAGCAATTTGTTGTGCATTGAATGAATTTGTGAGTGTCTGAATGAGTAAATGAATAACTGAGTGAATGACAATTCGCTGATGTTGGTGTTGTTGCTGCTGCTGCCGTGTCCAGTGCACACGCAGATTGAATTTCCAGAGAACATGTTTTTTTAATTTTCATGCGAGAATAATTTTGTATGGCGGAAAACGCTTGCATAAAAAACTCAAACAAAAACAACATTGTTGCCGTTGCTGTTGCCAATGGCCAGTGGTCGCCGGGACAGTTAACAAGCTCTGGCATTGACCATGCCATGGACCCCCTTCGTTTCCCAGAAATGGGACTCGGAACAGGTGAGCAGCAGCGGCCGTTGCATTTGTGATTTTTCGAAAGGTTATTTGAAATTGTTGAAATGTTTGCCAAACAGCAGGAAAACAAAATTAATTAAAGTTTTGCCAGAGTTACGACAGCGCTAAAAAAAAAAAAAACAAAATAGAAACACAATTGTGAATCGGTCAAATAAATTGTTTTATTTTTCCATTAATGTAACTATGAGAGAGTTTTTTATTGATAGCGACATTTCCCTAGATAGAAATACTTATGTTATCCACAACATGGTTTGCATTAGGCACAAGAGTATGTTAGAAATGTTAACATTGAATGCATATACATAAAATGTAGTGGAGCTAGAGATTAACAAAAAACAAGCCGTTTTTTAACTAAACTAAGTAATCTTTTTAAATTTTGAAGAAGGAGAGTACATTACAGAAGGAACATTCATGGTAGAAATTTATGCACGAAATTGATTTGAAAGTACAAGTTTTACTAGCCTAGTTTATTTTTTTAAATATGCTTAAAGTACTGTCAAAAACATGTCAATTTAATAAATACTATTAGTAATGTTTTTGGAGTCATCAGTAATATAGCTTTACATCCCAATCCTGTCTATAGGAAAAAAGTATTATGCAGCTGCTTGGTTACCTAAGCATGGCACTTGGCACTCGTTGATAGCAGACCATAAATCTGAGTTTGCTTTGATCTATTGGAAAACGCCCCTTTCTGATGTCAAGCCTTGTGTGGCAGCCACACGCAGAACGCAGAATGAAAACGCACTCAACCACTTGAAAAGTGAATGCAACTGCGAAACTCGCAATAAATCTTGAAAAAGACAACCAAAAATTTGTCACTTTCACCGCGACCAAAATAATTTTGGAAAGTTCTATACAAAAAAACACAAAAAAAAAACACCAAAATTTTGTAGACAATACAAAAAAAAAAAAAACAATATATATATGACAGTATATGGACGCTGAGTTTTACGGTAAATTGCGCAAGGATAAAGGAGTTACACAAAGTTGTTTAATCCTTTTTGTAAAAACAACCCAGCAAAATTGCCACTCAAAAGGTGAAAACTGTCGAAAAACATTCGTCCTGCATCCTGGCGCACGGACTGCACCTCCCGCTGTGCGCACGCGCTGACTTATTGGCAGCTGACCAGGATCAGGACTGGCGGCTCGTGCCGGAAAGGGGTCGCCTGCGGTTGCCGGACAAATTGAAATAGCAAAATCATTTTTCTGCCGCCATGGAGAATTGCATTTAATTACAAAGAGCCAACAAATGCGATCGGTCTAAAATTTTAAAGCATCGCCGCTGCCGCCGCCGCCGCAGGACAATTTCGGGCTCAGTTTTCGATTTTCAAGCAACAAATTCACGCCTCGCTACACAAAAGCGCTGTAAATTATATTGTTAGACTGACCAGCGGCCAGCCAGGCACAAGGGACGAGGGGAGTTAAGGGGCGAGTTGCATAATTGCAACGAACTGAAACAATTGCGCGCACAATCAGACACAACAGGATGTCCATGTCGAACCCCCACCCGCTCGCCCACCCTACTTGCTCTCGCCACAGCTAGTCCTGTCATTTTATTAGTTCTGCGCTCATCGATTGTTTGTTTAGGATGCTGTGCACGGCAGCAGCAGCAGCAGCAGCAGGAGAGCCATAGTTATGGGAATGGCCAGTTACATGACAGGACATAATAATAAAGTATGCCAACTAAATTATGAAACAACCCCCAACCCTTACGCCATCCGCGATCCGCTATCCGTGCTGTTCGTTCCGCTTGCACTGGCAGCTCACACGGAGAAGCAATTCATCGAATTTATATGCACATCTTTGATCTGATCTTAACTGGCGCTAATATAAATCTGTGTACATATAGTATATGCTAATGTTTATCCTGACTGACTGATGGACCGACTGATGAAAGGGTAAACTGAACATTTTGCCTTATGTGATCTAAATAAGCACTACGACGGAGGGTCAGCATATTAGTATCGGGAATAGTACGGATTTCGATCGTCCCTAACATTATTTTCGAAGTTTAACGTAAAGCTAAGAAGAAATTCCAGTCCAATAAAAAAACGTTAAATTGAATTTTAAAACCTTCCAATTGGATTCGAAACTACAGTGCTGCCACATAGTCGAAAACAGTTGTATGCGCCGCCTGAGAGGCTGTGGTGCTAGAGCATGTTAATCGTAATCGATATATCGGCTCATACTATCATTCTCTTAAAAACTTAGAAAATTGCAATTGATAATAATAACTCATTTAAAAGACTCTTGACTTTAAGAAAATTTATTAATAATATATAGTTAGAGCTCATATTTTGTGGTGATAACATTTGACAACAGCTGTAGCGCTGGTTCATTTGAAGCGAACTATCTGTCAGACGTAACGGGTACGTACGTAAACGTTCATCTCTAAAACACAACTAAATTTTTGTAACAACTTTTAAAAAAGATTCAGAAAAATGGCCAGCAAACAGTTGTTAAGCCGTGTTAGCACATTGGGACGCTGTAGCCCGACTTGGGTGACACCATTGGCCGCCGTGCGCAGCTCTAGCTCCCGCAGCGACATCGAAAAAGTCACACACACTGGCCAGGTAAGTGTGGTTCGGCGTTCAGCTGTGTGGGATTCGCGATTACGCAAACATTGTTATTACTTCGTATGTGAAACAAAATGTTGGGTTTTAGGTCTTCGACAAGAACGACTACCGCAATGTGCGCTTCACAAATGCCAAACGCTACGTGAACGAAAACTGGGGCATCAAGCTGATCGACGAGGTGCTGCCGATTGAGTCCGAAGAGCGCGTTGTCTGCTGCGACGGCGGCAACGGTCCACTCGGACACCCCAAAGTCTACATCAATCTGGTATATTGAAAATAAGCATTGAGTGAACGTGTTCTAGATATTCCTTATTTGTTATAGGATAAGCCCGGCAATCACGCCTGCGGCTACTGTGGCCTGCGTTTTGTGAAGAAGGATGCTCATCATTAGAAGCATTGCCGGGCCATCCGAGGAAGCAGTTAATACCATTGAGCTAGTTGAATATGTATACAAATAAAAGGAAAAGTTATACCTAACAAGACACTTGACGGAAAGAACATAACCATGAGTTGTTTCCTGGCTTAAATTCTGGTTTAAATGAGTCGTCTCGACAAATAATATGTAATTTATAGCAGCAGCCAAATAGATCAATCCATGTCCAGCTGTCCGTCTCTATACAAGGTAGTCTTAATGATATTTTGATAGGTCCAACCTATGTTCTTGCGGAGTAACCCGGATCAGATCATCATATAGCAGCCATATTAAGCTTTGCGTTTTCTGTATGGATATTTCAACTTCGATTCGAAAAACTATAGATTCCCCTATCATCCAACCCCATTCAGATTAAGGCGTTAAGAGTACACACATGTAGGTATGTAACGTATTAGCCTTCTAATTGATCTTCCTTATGGACCCCAGATATGCTCAGAAAAACGAATCCTTGTTTTGTTGCACTCGTTTATTGCACAACACTTTATTCACTTGCATGTTCTTGAATGATATCTAATACAATGTATATGTATGCGTTAGCATTGTGGTCTATTTGTTAATAGAAAATTATCAACTAAAATAGATGTATATATAGAGATTAGCAATAATTGTAAATAATATGCGATTAAGTATATAAATATGTATGCAAACAAATTTCATATGAGCTTGCATAAGAAAAGTCACAAAAAAAAACGAATAGAAATAATATATGTGTGTAGATCCGACCACACCACAACATACTGGGTGTGCATTTATGTAGGTATATCGAAACTTAATGAAATCATAATTATGATGCTTGTACGAGCCGGTATATTATGATTGTTGTATTTTTTTTTTGTTTAAATATGCGTTTTACTTCCGCTACTTCTTTACTACGGGCACTTTAGATGCTGCACGCTCCATTGAGACACAGATAGTACCACGAAAAGAATATAAAGACAAAAAAAGAAATATAAATATATATTGCCTCCGAGTGCCACAGCATATGGGGCTGGGCACACACGGGCCACACGTGCGGTGGTGCCGAGGCGGACTGGCAAAACTGAAAAGAATCACGTTCACACCAACTCCGAGCCTGCAGCTGATCACAACGACCAGACGAGACGAGGGGGCTGGGCTGCCGTCGTCTGGAATGGCGTTGTCCTCAGTGCTGAGGGGTGTATCCTGCAGCTTGCTCTGGAACTGAAAGTGGTGGGCGCACAACTGGTGCGCTGCTCACAATACACAAACAGCGAGTGCCTTTTGTGGATCGCTGCTCAAATAATCAATGGTCAATAATCGTCGTCATCTGTTGTCTCAATTGCGTTTCATCTAAAACACCAACAAACACTTAAGAGAATGTAAACTAAAATGTAATAGGTTCTAATTTGGATGTTGTGTGGGACTATGTTGCCGACGAATCGCTTTAGCTTATCTTCATACTGTTGTTGCTGCTGCTGCTGCCGCTGGAGGAGCAGCATTGATCGCTTATCTTGATTGGGGCAATAGTTGTTCACCACTGGTCACCAGAGGTTCCGTGGCATGGCGTAGCCTTCTTTTGTCACAAATATGTTGCGATTCATGCACGCCTGACGATCTCCACCAGCTCCAATTGCCGCCTGCCGGCCCGTGCCCGTGCCCGTGCCAGTGCCCTCTTGCCTGACCGTTGTCTCCTTGCGCCCGTCCACAATGCGCGTCACAGTTGTTGTCTTCTGACCGGTCGAGTCCTGGGTCACCTTAGTGGTCTCATAGCTGCCATCCGGTTTGCGCACTGTCTTCGTCATCACGCTCTGGCTGAACATTTTCGGGCCCTGATAGGTGCCATCGAAGACGCCGCCAAATGGCGTCATTGGCGTCATTATGTTCGGCTTGCCGCTCGGCGGCCGTGCCGGCAGCAATACGGCCGGTTTCATTTCACCTTCGGCATTGAGTGTGCCGTGTATACGACCCATGATAATCTCCTCATCGGAAAGCTTAACGCGTGGCACGCGCAACCCACGCTGATTGGAGGGCAAAATATTTTCGTGCCCCTCCTCGGGATTCAAGCGTTGTATCAGCGTGTACAGTTGATCGGGGTAGATTCTGGGAATACAAATACATTAAGATGTCGTGGGTTTTATATACATTATCTACTTACTCTCCATCCAAGTCGGTGTCCAGCGAGTTTTCTTTCTTATGAAATTCCTTAAGTATTTTGCTTTCGAAGCCAGGTTTCAAGAAATCCTCCCTTAAGTTACGCTCAACTCCAGCATCTGTTGTGGATAATTCTCATGAGACTTGACAAAAACTTATTGGATACATTATACTCCACCTTCATTGTCTTGCACCGACTCCAGCAGACGCTGCAGTTGACGCTCAAAGTGCTTCTGCATCTCCAATGGACTGGTAAAGACTTGGAACGCAAACTTGCGATCGTCATCGAAGAGCTCATCATCAGTTTCGGCCTCCTCGAACCACTGGGGCTTGCGGAACTCATCCTTGTTGGAGGCGGTTGCGGCAGCGCTGCAAGCACACAGGCGGTTTAATAAAGGAGCATACAAATGCAAATACAGTTAAGCCAAGGGGGCGGCAGCACACACACGCACAGACACATCCAAAGACCACAGCAACCCCCCCTAGCGACCACAGGAGGAACACTTCAATACGCAGCCTCCGCAACGCACAAGCTCACACACACACACACACACACGCACACACACACACACACTTATACATGCACAGGCAGTGCACACATTTGCGCCTGTGTATATCCTGGTAAAAATGTATCTATCATAGCAGGTGCCTGGTTTATCGATCGATTCATTGAAAAAAGCCGCAGTCCGCTTATAAAATTTGCAATAATTGAATACTTACTCTTTCTCCTGCTGCTGCTGCTCGAATTCCGATTGGAACATTTTCTTGAGTATATCCATGGCGATTTATCTTGTTTGTTGTGTTTTTTTTTTTTGTTTAACTTTGGTAAAACGTACTTGTACGGGTCCAGAAAATGCTTATCCTTTTTGGGGATTGAGCAACGCAAACTTTGTGAATTTATGTAGAGAAAGAAAAAACTAAAAGAACCAAAATGACGCAAATAACAATTGTGTTAGCAAAACTTGTGAAAAGTCTTCGTTTTATATATTTTCTTCCTATTTATTATTTTATTTGTGTGTGCACAAAATTTTCACGTATCCCAAACACCACCACGACGAACAGAAATTGCTCGATAAGCGAACAGCTGACCTGAGCAGCGGTGAGCGTTTCGTTCCAACTGTCACACGCATACATTCTCGCGCACACACACACACACACACACACACAAGCACACCATGCTTGCGCCACGAAATGGAAACGAAACGCGCGCCGCATCGATGTTACATACTGGAATTAGAACATGGCGGGCCAGCTTCAAATGTTTTAGCGTTTTGCTGAAATTTTGACTTTATCTTGACAAAAAAAAAAAATATAAATATATATATAAATACGGGATTTGGTTAAAATAATTTATTCAACTTTTCACTCTAAATCTAAATATTTTCTATTACTTAGCAGATCTGATACAAGAGGCAGAGAAAAACTGACAAGCAGCAATAAGATATACAAATCCTAACAAAATCTTTTTTTATATAGACTTTCTCTTTATATACGCAGAGATGCGTATTTTCGCCTAGTTTCCAATTTGAAATCTTTTCTTTAACAAATGTTTGGTTATCGATTAGTTCTCTTGCAGGCAGCCCGTTCGAAGAGCTTTTCTAACTATTTAATGGGTCATTAGTTGGTATTTGATTTACAGGCTCTGTTCAAACCGTAAACACAAACTGCGAGATCTTCAGTTTTGTACAAATGACAAAGTTGTTGGTAGGGCTTTTCTAGGGCTAACAGTTACGGAATACCTATTTGCTTAACTTTGCAGTCGGATACTTTTTGGTATTTGGAAGGGGAAAACCCTTCCCGTCTTAGATATATATATATGTATATATATATATATATATATAAACTTAAACTCTAATGCATGTTCTCCTTGTCGCCGATGCTGCAGCGTTTGCCCTTTTGAATTTTCATCATCTTATTCTCATCGGCGCATTTCGTGGTGATTGCGTTGCGCACCTCCTTCTCGCTGGCATTCGATTTGCGCGTCACGGCAAAGATGATGTCCTGTATCTTGAGCGGATCGAGCATTTGCTTGAGCGGCTTCTGCTGATCCTTGAAGGCTGGCGACGGCTTGCCAGTCATCGAGTGTGTGGCCAGTGTCTCCCGATCAAATGTGGCCACCAGCAATTTGCGCGTGGCTAGTGAGGAGACGGACCAATTGATATTCTCAAAGACACTGGCCGGCACACAGGTATTGTTCGGCCCAATGGAGACCATCACATTGTCCGCCATTTGCTGTTCTGCCTTCACATCCGGCTTCCATTCGTCCCTGGACTTGCCATGGCTTCTGCGCGTGGGCAGCTTGTAATTCACGTTGTGCAGCTGCTGCTGCTGTTGCAGCACCGGCGGTGCAGACATGTTGTGCTCCTGTAGCTCCAGCTTACGCCGCTTGATCAGCTGCAGCGGCGTCGTGGACTCGCGTTTGATCAGTTGCTGTTGCTGCTGTTGTTGCTGTTGCTGCTGTTGTTGCTGTTGCTGCTGCTGCTGTTGCTCATCGTTACCCAGGCAAATTTCCAGGCGATCCGAGTCGGCGGATGTGCTCAGGCTGTTCAAACTCTCCGCCGCCAAACGAATCTCGATGGCATCCGCATCGTTGCAGTCGGCGCCAGCGGCTGCAATTATTTTATAGTCAATCACCTCGGAGCGCTGTGGCTGCCCCGAGCTAGGTGCACATATAACAGAGCTGGGCGGCGTCAGTATTTGTGGCTGGTGTGTGGGCGGCGTCGCCGGCGAGGCAGCTGTGGCCGTAGCCAGTTGCATGCGCGCCGATGTTGCGTGTATTTGGGAGAGCAGATCCGTGTGCTCCTGCAGCTTGGCCTCCAGATAGCGCACTTTCTCGCGCAGTGCACGATTCTCGGCCTCCACATGGGGATCGTTCTCCAGAGTGCGCAACAGCCCAAAATCCTCGCCCGTAGTCTGTGTCCAGGCGGTGAGCAGCATCGGCTGCTCCCGGCCGCTCCAATGCGAATCGTCGCGCACATTCACGAAATTGGATCCGTTTGCTGGCAGTATCTAATTAAAGTTTGATTTAAATAAATGCAATTGCAGTGCACTGGAATTCAACACCTACTTGGGGTTCCATTTTGTCGATCCTGGCTACGGTCCTGCGTTGCGTGCGTCTTGCAGGATGAGCGTCAACTGTGCGAAGCGCTACACAAACTCAAAGAAATTGGCGGCAGAATATCAAACAACGCGCGAAAAACAAAATGCATGCACAATGAGAGAGACAGAGGGGTAGTTTATACTTTTTAGCAAAAGCAACAACGTGAACAGCGACAATAACAACAACAACAGCAACAAGAACTGGCACAATGCATTCCAACTACTTACACATGCTACCTGGAACCAATAAAGTCGAAGTGTTCGTTTGTGTGCGTGAGTTACTGTGTGCGTGTGTGTGTGTGTTGTGTGTGCGTGCGTGCGTGTGTGTGCTGCTCGTTCTTTAGCCCTGCTTTCAGGTAAGCGAATATATTTTGTGTGGACGTGCGTGTTTGTGTGTGTATCCTCTTTGGAATGGGACTTTCTATTCTATATCCCAACTGGCGTGAGACCAATTTTCATTTTCGATCCTTCTCTTCTATTTTATGCCTGCCTCTGCACCACACTGCATGCATTTCTTTCGCGCGGGAACAAGAATCGTAAATTTAAAGCAAAGGCAGAGTTGTCAACCATTCTGTTTCTGTCACATTACAGTATTTTCACTAAGCGGCATTAGCATTAGCAGCAACCCGTTGCGTAGAATTTACAGCTGGTATTTCAACATAATAAATTATATTTTGGCAGCAATTCATAAAATTGTATAAGATTTGTAAGCAAACTAGTATTAATATTATAGCACACTACGTATTAAAATGGTAATTCATATAATTTTAATATCTATCGAAGCAAGAATTGTAACTGCAAGAAGCCGTTTGGCCTAAACCGGTTTTTCGATCATGGAATTGAAAACGTAATGGGACCAGTTGTCGGCATGCATACAAAAATAAGTATCCCTTTTAGAATACTAGGGGAAAACACACCTTGACTCTCTGATCGGAAAATAAAACATCCCTAGCTCTCGCAGATGTTAAAACCATTAGAGCATAAAGCCTGGTGGAATTTTTAAGCAGAATCTTCTTGTGCCAGGTAGAATGAGTCCATTGTTGACCTCTTTGTGTAATTTTGTAAACTCAATTCGCAAAAAAGTGTGTTTTAAACGGGTAAGCGTAAAAAATATGTATTTATGTTAGGATTTTTTTAACATATTCAATATTCTACTCCAATATCTTTGTCTACAGTAATATTATTATCTTCAAAATTTAATTTTCTGCATTTAGTTGCCTTTGTTTTGACCAAATCGAAACTCACTTTTTAAGAAAACATTTGCAGGAAGCTATTCTTTATTTTTTTGAAATAAAAAAAGTCTGACAGTTGCAAATATACATACACGTCGGGGCACGAAACTTGAATTTAATTCCCTGTAGTACTCCTTATTGATAATTTGACCTTGTGACAAGAAGTAATGGCGCATTATGTAGTGTTCGCCTAAGATGCTTCACAAAAAACGATGTCCCCCCAGTTTTAAAGCTAGTCACCTAATTCGACAAACAAATTTGTTGACCTCCTTCTAATAGCATTCAAATAGAAAAATGTAGATAGTTTGAAGTTCAGGCTTCCATATTTAAAGTCAAAACTCAAATAGTCAATATGATTCTTTCGACTGTTTTAAGCTGTTATTACACAATGAAAGGCTACAAGACTATTGCTAATCAAATTTTATTAACTCATATAATTTAAGAATAACAATTTGAAACTCCAAGCTACTGGCCCTTCTATTAAATTCGAATTTATGATATTTTAATACTAAAGCGTATGGAAATGCAGTATTGTATATCTATGATATATATACTGCATAATGCCTTAATAATTTCAATATCTACGAATAATAGAAGTTGCAGTCGCAGCAATATTCGAGCAAGTACCGCTGTTTTAATTAATTGCTCTTTGCGCTCTGGTAACTCTATTGGCCATCTGTCAAAATCTGAAATAACTGTTAATCCTAGATCATAAAACCGGCAATTCGCAAAGGAGTTTCCAAGGCCAACTGTAATTCTAGCTTAACATATTTCACGTAGATAGCCGCAAAACCTTTGCAGCTGCGCAAGATTTGCTTACCTGTTCTTACCTGCTGCGGAAGAAAAAAGATCCGAACATTGATGGCTCATTTTCATAATTTTGGAAATAAAAATGGCAACGCCGAAGGAATTTACATGCCAGTTCATGACAGTGCAGAGACGTGGCCAGAACAAGCTCGCGCAGCACCTTACACGAATCCCAGCCAGAATATTCAACCAAACAATTTGTTGCCAGTTGTGCCGTTCACGCATTCACCATACTCGTATCCGTATCAACAGTTTTTAAGTCACTTTGCTCCGAACCTGGTGCCCTACTACTACTCATTACTGACTCCAACGCCCATCGATTACTTCGGCTACCAGCAGAGAGCTGTCCCTACAGAGATGGACATTGACAAATACATTAACTCTGAACTGAGCAAGCAGCAGAGCTTGCTGCGTAAACAGAATGTGAGACCGCGCCCGCTTAGCCAGCTGCAGCTGCCCAGCAATCGACAGTTGGTGGCGGTCAAAAAAGAGGCACAGGAACGGCGCGTCATTAATGTCCAAGTGGTGGCAATGTCCGGCAGCACTCGGGATCGCACACCAGACGTGGAACCATTGCCGCCTGTTGAAGCCTCGTTCAAGGAGCGTGTGGCCAAAATAAACAAAAGCCAGCAGCACTACACACAGCTGTTTGACCGGTTGACCAGCATGCTGCAAACGCTGAATCGACGCTACGATGGCAACGAAATGGAACCAGAGCCAGAGGCCGAGCTTGAAGAGGCACCACCGCCGCCCTTGAAGCGCGCACGTCACGATATGTCGAGCAGTTCCAGTGAATCGCATCTGGATCCCGAGAATTCCTCATCCCTTTCGATTTATCCGCAACGTATACAGCTGGAGGATGGCAGCTCCGAGTACGTGCTTGGGCCCCATGGCACGCGCATCAATGCCAAAGACTACGGTCAAGTGTTCTGGACAAGTGCGCCAGTTGCGACGCGTTGCCTCCTAGCAGCCGTCTTTAGCAGCGATGAGCTGGCCACGCATACGCTGACGGGCAAGCCGTCTCCAGCGTTTTATGGACGCGAGCGCCCGGCCAAAAAGATGCTAGATCAGAACAGGGTTGACGACATTGTTGTGAGTGTGCGCAATCGCACCGGCGGCAAGGAGCGTCACATAAGAGCCACCATAACCACAAAGTGCGCCGATACGGCAAAGAAGTACAAGCGACGCGCCAAGAAGGCGCTCAAAGATGATGTCGTTGTCATAGACGAATGAGTCCATAAAATCTTGACCATAGGCTGTTTAGCTGGATATGATCTGGCTATAGACATAGTATATATAAGAATTAGATGTAGACTTCCTTTTGCAAATAAAGATGCTCAACAAAAAGCAAATTTTATTAGCGCTATGGCGTCTGCTGCCCCTAGGAGTGTTCCATTCGCATTTTAATTTTTTAAATAATAACCATCTATGCTAACGAATTTCTATGTTTGCTTGGAGCAGTCACTACTTCATTGCCGATGGATTCCAAGCCTCCACTTTGGGGGGCGTTGTGGTGTATGGCATGTAGGACTCTGTAAGAACACAATTAGTTTTAAGAAAAAAGGATTTGCTCATATTTTAGTTACCCTTGGTGCCCGACAGATTCTCGCTGTGGTCCATCATCCATTTGTGCTTGGGTCGGCAGCCATCCCGGATGGGTGGCAAATCGGTCTGAAATAAGCATTTTATTAATTGGATAACAACAAATAGTAGGATAGCACCTACCTTGTAATGCATCCAGCCGAACCACTCGGCAGGTATCTGCGAGCCATCGTAGTCCATGTTGACATGTGGGGAAAACTCCACCCAGCGGTTTCTGCCATAGAAATAGTAGGGGTTCTCATAGTATCTGTTCCCGTACTTGTCTATGCCAACAAGTTTGCCTGTCTTCAGATCATCATTTCTGTTTATATGGGAATTTAAGAAATTTGCAACTTATATAAGAGACCGCACAGCTTTGGTTTACCTGTATAGCTTTAAATAGGCTTGCTTGAAGCCGCCGGCCTCGCGAATGGCCTGGAACAGCCTGCCCAAGCGAGTTATGCCCAGAAAATTGGCCATTCTGCTTGGCAAACGAAAAATTATAACAAATTTTGTGATTTGTAGTTGAAGAACTTACGTGCAAAGCAAAACAATGTTGCCACTTAGTTAAAATGTATATGTTATTGTTGTGCTACCAGGGCTACACAATGCTTCTGAGGTTGGCAAATATAATCAATCTTCAAGGTTCATTTTGTATATTTTGCAGCCCTGCGTCCAGGTCTGTTCATCAGTTTGGTATTTCGTGAATCAATTCGCTGGATAAAATAAGTAAAACACAGAAAACCTGCGCATATAACTACATTCAACATGGCAAAAAACACTTCGAGCAATGCGTTTCGGAAAATCGATGTGGACCAGTATAACGAGGACAATTTCCGAGAAGATGATGGCGTCGATAGCGCCGCCGTTGGTCCGGACGAGAACGAAATCACATCCCTGTTAACAAAAGGCCAGGGTGTGGAAGCGCTGCTCAGCGCGCTCCAAAACGCGCCCCTACGTTGTAAAATCCAGCACGTCAAGGTAGAAGAATGCGTCACCCACATCACAGATAAGCGCTTATTCATAACTTCAATTGCAGGACAACGCACTGAATATAACACTGCGCGTACTGTTATCGATCAAGTCAACGCAAATCGATCAGGCAATCGACTTACTGGAACAGAACGACCTGATCGATGTGCTCATGAAATACATATATCGGGGCTTCGAAACACCCTCCGAGGGCTCCAGTGGGCATCTGCTGCAGTGGCACGAGAAGGCGTTCGCCAAGGGCGGCGTTGGCTGCATCGTACGTGTGCTCTCCGACACGAACCGTGCCTAAAGTGCACTCATTACAGAAACAAGCAACCAGATAAATCAATCACAAGTGTTGTTGTTTTTGCCATTACTATAAAAACCCGTTAAATATCCGAGCTAGAGCCCTAGTCCAAGCGCTAGTTGGATTATGCCGCAATAAAAAATTACAGTTTTCCAAATAAGATTTTATTACAAAACTGCCTAGTATATTTGGATGGAAACATAAAATGAAAACATAAATATGTCGACTTTAGAGCGGCGCCATCAACGGCGTGCTTATTCTGTTTTCAAACGTCATATCTCCGCGCGGAGTCACTACGTTCGCAGTTATTATGTTTTCATTTTAAACTGATAATCTAGATAATCGCGGAGTTGAGCCCTCTCAACTACAGCGTGATTGCTTCCTTTTAACCAGAATAAAAACGCAGTCGTTTCAAAATTATTAATCCATATTTTTATTGACTGTTTGCCATTACCAGGTGTTACAGTTTTTTAAGTGTGAGTAAATACATTACTTATTGCCTCTTCGACTTCTTGTTTACAGCTCGGACATTTAGGTTTAGTTTTTTTCTTTTATTAACCAATTTGTTGTATTGAACATACTTAACATTACAGTTATCCTTATCTAAGTTTGGGAGGTTGCCAGTGGATTGCTGTCGTAAGAGGTCACCCACTAAGGAAATCTTTAGGTCTCTTGGAGCATACTGATTTTTGCCTGTTGATGTCTATTCGCCACTTAGATGGCCACATCTCGAATTCGTGCAGGTATTCTTGGCTTGGTATACACAGCCGGGTTTGGAGAGGATTGCTGTGTCGTCAGTGGTTTATTTTTTCATTTAAAGAATCATCGTTCGATTTATTGTAGCCAACAATTTGGTCCAAACAGGTGTCGTAGTTTGTTTCAATCTCCTCTACTCCTCTAGTTTTCCCAGTTAAGCAAACAAAGAATAGATATTTTTTATAGTGAACTTTTTTATTAGGTACAATTTTTAAAGTTCCAGCTTTAAGGCAGACAAAAACCCACCTTTTTTGTATGTACATACATGTACACATTTGCGCGCCCAAAAATGCGTATATATGTATTCCACCAAGCGCGGAGATATATCGTTTCAAAACAACCTAATTCCGCGTAGAGATATGACGTTTGAAAACGACATCGTTTGTGGAGCCGCGGAGATACGTCGGTTCAAAAAAGTTGTTGACCTAAAACCGATGTGTTTGTAATGTCAGACTTGTTTGATGATTTTTGGGCATATCTCGGCCAAATAATGTCCGATTTTGGAATTTTATACCATTTGGGACTCGTAAGGATCAGTACTATCGATCGGCATCAAAAGGCTGAAAATCTAAGTTTTGGCCCAAATCGACAAAATAGCAAGGGGTTACATCATGTTTTTTTTCAAAATCGGGTTCGGTTCAAAAATTAAAACTTTTTTTAAGATATTTGTTTAATATCTCGGTTAAATAAGGTCAGATTTTTAAATTTTATACCTTTTTAAATTCGTACGGATCCCTACTATCAAATTGCATTTAAGCAAATTATAAATCGATGGGTTAAAAAAAGTTGTTGACCTAAAACCGTTCGTAATGTCAGACTTTTTGATAATTTTTTGGCATATCTCGGCCAAATAATGTCCGATTTTGGAATTTTATACCATTTGGGACTCGAAAGGATCAGTACTATCGATCGGCATCAAAAGGCTGAAAATCTAAATTTTGGCCCAAATCGACAAAATAGCAAGGGGTTACATCATGTTTTTTTTCAAAATCGGGTTCGGTTCGAAAATTAAAACTTTTTTTTAAGATATTTGTTTAATATCTCGGTTAAATAAGGTCAGATTTTTAAATTTTATACCTTTTTAAATTCGTACGGATCCCTACTATCAAATTGCATTCAAACAAATTTAAAATCGATGGGTTAAAAAAAGTTGTTGACCAAAAACCGTTCGTAATGTCAGATTTTTTGATAATTTTTTGGCATATCTCGGCCAAATAATGTCCGATTTTGGAATTTTATACCATTTGGAACTCGTAAGAATCAGTACTATCGATCGGCATCAAAAGGCTGAAAATCTAAATTTTGGCCCAAATCGACAAAATAGCAAGGGGTTACATCATGTTTTTTTTTTTTCAAAATCGGGTCGGTTCAAAAATTGAAACTTTTTTTTAAGATATTTGTTTAATATCTCGGTTAAATAAGGTCCGATTTTTAAATTTTATACCTTTTTAAATTCGTACGGATCCCTACTATCAAATTGCATTTAAGCAAATTAAAAATCGATGGGTTCAAAAAACTTGTTGAACTAAAACCTGTGTGCTTGTAAATTCAGACTTTTTTGATGATTTTTGGGCATATCTCGGCCAAATAATGTCCGATTTTGGAATTTTATACCATTTGGGACTCGTAAGGATCAGTACTATCGATCGGCATCAAAAGGCTGATAATCTAAATTTTGGCCCAAATCAACAAAATAGCAAGGGGTTACACCATGTTTTTTTCAAAATCGGGTTCGGTTCAAAAATTAAAACTTTTTTTAAGATATTTGTTTAATATCTCGGTTAAATAAGGTCCGATTTTTAAATTTTATACCTTTTTAAATTCGTACGGATCCCTACTATCAAATTGCATTTAAGCAAATTATATATTGATGGGTTCAAAAAAGTTGTTGACCTAAAACCGATGTGTTTGTAATGTCAGACTTTTTTGATGATTTTTTGGCATATCTCGGCCAAATAATGTCCGATTTTGGAATTTTATACCATTTGGGACTCGTAAGAATCAGTACTATCGATCGGCATCAAAAGGCTGAAAATCTAAATTTTGGCCCAAATCGACAAAATAGCAAGGTTACATCATGTTTTTTTTTTCAAAATCGGGTTCGGTTCAAAAATTAAAACTTTTTTTAAGATATTTTTTTAATATTTCGGTTAAAAAAGGTCAGATTTTTAAATTTTATACCTTTTTAAATTCGTACGGATCCCTACTATCAAATTGCATTTAAACAAATTATAAATTGATGGGTTCAAAAAAGTTGTTGACCTAAAACCGATGTGTTTGTAATGTCAGACTTTTTTGATGATTTTTTGGCATATCTCGGCCAAATAATGTCCGATTTTGAAATTTTATACCATTTGGGACTCGTAAGGATCAGTACTATCGATCGGCATCAAAAGGCTGAAAATCTAAATTTTGGCCCAAATCGACAAAATAGCAAGGGGTTACATCACGTTTTTCTTCAAAATCGAGTTCGGCTTGAAAATCAACTCCGCGTGGAGATATGTCGTTCCGAAACGACATAACTCCGCGCGGAGATATGACGTTCCAAAACGACATAACTCCGCGTGGAGATATGACGTTCCAAAACGACATAACTCCCGCGATATGACCTTCCATAAAATCATCACGTTGTTTTTCAAAATCGAGGTTTTTGCGATAATCGAAACTTTTTCGATGATTTTTTTAATATCTCGGGTAATAGCTCCGCGCGGAGATATGACGTTCCAAAACGACAGCTCCGCGCGGAGATATGACGTTCCAAAACGACAAAACTCCGCGTGGAGATATGACATTCCAAAACGACATAACTCCCGCGATATGACCTTCCATAAAATCATCACGTTGTTTTTCAAAATCGAGGTTTTTGCGATAATCGAAACTTTTTCGATGATTTTTTTAATATCTCGGGTAATAGCTCCGCGCGGAGATATGTCGTTCCATAACGACATATCTCCGCGCGGAGTTATGTCGTTTTGGAACGACATATCTCCGCGCGGAGTTATGTCGTTATGGAACGACATATCTCCGCGCGGAGATATGACGTTCCAAAACGACAGCTCCGCGCGGAGATATGACGTTCCAAAACGACAAAACTCCGCGTGGAGATATGACATTCCAAAACGACATAACTCCCGCGATATGACCTTCCATAAAATCATCACGTTGTTTTTCAAAATCGAGGTTTTTGCGATAATCGAAACTTTTTCGATGATTTTTTTAATATCTCGGGTAATAGCTCCGCGCGGAGATATGTCGTTCCATAACGACATATCTCCGCGCGGAGTTATGTCGTTTTGGAACGACATATCTCCGCGCGGAGTTATGTCGTTATGGAACGACATAACTCCGCGCGGAGATATGACGTTCCAAAACGACAAAACTCCGCGTGGAGATATGACGTTCCAAAACGACATAACTCCCGCGATATGACCTTCCATAAAATCATCACGTTGTTTTTCAAAATCGAGGTTTTTGCGATAATCGAAACTTTTTCGATGATTTTTTTAATATCTCGGGTAATAGCTCCGCGCGGAGATATGACGTTCCAAAACGACAGCTCCGCGCGGAGATATGACGTTCCAAAACGACATAGCTCCGCATGGAGATATGACGTTCCAAAACGACATAACTCCGCGTGGAGATATGACGTTCCAAAACGACATAACTCCGCGTGGAGATATGACGTTCCAAAACGACATAACTCCGCGTGGAGATATGACGTTCCAAAACGACATAACTCCCGCGATATGACCTTCCATAAAATCATCACGTTGTTTTTCAAAATCGAGGTTTTTGCGATAATCGAAACTTTTTCGATGATTTTTTTAATATCTCGGGTAATAGCTCCGCGCGGAGATATGACGTTCCAAAACGACAGCTCCGCGCGGAGATATGACGTTCCAAAACGACATAGCTCCGCATGGAGATATGACGTTCCAAAACGACATAACTCCGCGTGGAGATATGACGTTCCAAAACGACATAACTCCAGCGATATGACCTTCCATAAAATCATCACGTTGTTTTTCAAAATCGAGGTTTTGCGATAATCGAAACATTTTCGATGATTTTTTTAATATCTCGGGTAAATAATGTCTGATTTTAAAATGTTATACATTTTTGAATGCGTACGGATCCCCACCATCAATTGACATTCAAGGCAAATTTAATATCGTTTTGTTAAGAAAAATGTTGTAGACAAAAAACCGATTCGTTCGTAAAGTCAACCTTCTTTTGACTCGAAATGAAAACTTTATTGATGATTTTTTTATTAATTTCTCGGGTAAACATTGTGTGATTTTTATATTTTATGCCTTTTTGTATTCTTACAAATCCCTATTATTAATTGACATTCAAACAAACTTAAAATCGATGGGTTCAAAAAATTTGTTGACCAAAAAACGACTCGTGTTTAAATTCGACCTTTTTTCATGATTTTTGGAAGTATCTCGGCCAAATAAAGTCGGATTTTGGAATTGTATACCATTTTGGCCTCGTAAGGATCGGTACTATCGATTGGCATCAACAGAATGAAAATCTAAATTTTGACCCAAATCGACAACAAATCAAGGGGTTACATCACGTTTTTCTTCAAAATCGAGTTCGGCTTGAAAATCAACTCCGCGTGGAGATATGTCGTTCCAAAACGACATAACTCCGCGCGG